ATAAAAAATGTAAAAATTAGATACACTAATTTGGTTTCCCTAAAACAAATATATTTAAAAAATATTTATAATAGACGGTGGGTTAAATATAATGTATTATATGATGGAATGAGTTATGATCCTTATAACTATTTGAATATTTATATTTAAGTTCATACAATTATTTTTTTAAAAATTCTTAATATTATATTCTACAATAAAAAATAAAAAAATATTTTAATTTGGAAAATTTTTTAAATAGTTTAAGAATATCATAAATATTTAATAAATCAAACGATAAAAGTTATAAATACTCTAATTTTATTTTTCAAAGCATAAATATTTAAAATATTTATAGCAAGTAGCAGGTTAAATGTAATGTATTATATGATAAATAGAGGTATGATCTTTATAACCGAAACCATGTTAAGATTATATGATGAGATGAGTTAAATAAGGTTTGACACCTCTAAATATTTAAAATTTTGATTCTATAAGTATATATGAAAATAATGAATGATGGATTGTGCACACAATTTTTTCATTCGGATTCTAAAATAAAAATATAGGTACGCATAGGTTGAATTTAATCTTATTATATAACAAAATATATTTATTAGATACGCAATTTTTTTTCACTTACTACTAGCATATATCAAATACATACGTTTTATTTTTAACCAAAACAACGTAAAAAACCGTAAAAATCGAACTGTAACTAAACCGAATTACATACGGTTTCTATATGGTTTCACTTTCTACAAAACGAAAAAAAACGATACTAGTCCGAAAAACCGTACCCCACCCCTAATATTTTCTCATCAAATAAAATAAAATAAAATGAAAAATCCTTATATGTCATTGTATCATGTAAAGAATTATTAAAATTGTACTATAAAACAAACAATAATCCAACTTTATATAAATATTTAAAAATTTAAATTTCATCCGTGTTGTTCTAGCACGGATAATGATCTAGTTGCTTTGTTAATTGTCTTACAAGAAGAGAAAGTAGCCCATGTAAACCTTTTAGTCTTTCTAGTGGAAGTTCGTAGCTTCAATAGCCGCACCAGACATATATACCAGTGGTGGAGGCTGAAAAGTTGTAGTTGATTATAGGGGTCAAAATAATAATTTTAATAGAAAAAACTGCATAAATTTCATTAGAAAAAGAAAAAAAAAACCATCAAAAAAATATATCACAGACTCATTCATATTTTCTAATCTATTTATTATTGACTCATTAAAAAATCGATAGTACAAGTACTATCAGTCTGTCTATTTAGTATTCAAAAACTAGACTCATTCATATTGCGAGATGTGGTTATTGACTCGCTCAATCAGTGGGATAATCGACTCACTCGATCAATGAACGAATAAAGGATGTTGAATCACTCAACAAACTCAATACGTAGGTTTTTAAAGTACTAAGTGACCCACTCACAAAGAACTAAAGAACAAATGACAAAGACTTAAACTTTGACAAGAAGAAACGTTTCTTTTACTTTAAAATGATCAAGGGTGCTTTACAATGAACGAAATAATGAGCTTATATAGGCTCAGCTACAATATTCTAATTCTCTAAAAGAAGAAACAAATCGTAACATTTAATGAAAATATGGCCGTTGGACCATTGAGTGTAGAATCGGTCCAAGTAAGGCAAGTAAGGTGTGCCTTGTATCTTGTCAACTTGGGGAAGAAGTTGTGAAGTCTTGGAAGCTTCTGGAGGGTCTCAAGATTCTCACACAAGCGCACAAACAAAGAAGGAAAGAGTTGTTGCAAGTTGATCTCTTTCGGCTCCATATATGGCAAGTAGTATCTCCGCGGGTTCTTGTGTGGTAAGGTGTACCAAAGTTCGTGTGGTACATGTCTTGTGTGGCCTAGATGTTCTCCTGGTTTCCATATGTAGCTTTGAGGCGCGTCCAAGTGTAGAATAAGGAAAATTTCCTTGTTTGGCTTCATTAGGCGCAATACTTCAGAGGGTAGTTCCGCAAGTAGTTCAGCGAGTAGTACAACCAGTCTGTGAGCAAGTACATCAGCTATATGTACTTGTAACATCTTCAAATCAATTGCTTGGTGAATGATTGTTTGATGACTTGATGTTGCCTCGTTAAAAACCTTTCTAGGTAAACCCATTGGGACAAACCCTAGATAAGGGAAAAAGAGTGCAACGGTCATATTCCCACAATATGGTGATTCGGTTCGCTGTTCTTTGATTCCTCTTGAACCATCATTAGTGTTTTTAGGATTAATTTGCTGGTGAATAATTAATCCTAGGCATTGTGCTTGATTAGGACTCCATTTGGGCAAAAATCCTTCTAAATGTTCAATATCAACCGGTTTGATACATGTACCGGCTGGTTTGGTATGCTCTCAGTTTGGTTTGATTTGGATGTCCGCATCATAACTTTAATCTTGTAATGGGGTCAATTTAGAATACTTAATCAAAATTAAACTGGTTTCTAAAATTTCATGGGTGTCAATTGACCCCATAATAAAACACTGCCTCCTCCCCTGCCTAAAGCGCGAGTAGAACGTGAGAAATATTGTTGTTGTCTGCCATTTATCGGAAGTTAAATCGAGTGATTTAAAGGTTGAATATCTCATAGATTTAATTTCTTGAACCATGAATGATAATCAACACAGCCATCATCAAACCTTGAAGTAAGTGATGAAGGTTTGATGATGGTTGTGTTGATTATCATTGGAGGTTTAAAAAAATTAAATGGTTTAATGCTACTAGGTAGACCCTTCATCAAACACAACATACCTCTAGGTAGACTCCATACATCAGAAACTTCCTATTACGAAAGAGAGTCTCAAGTGCTACTGTAATACTTGAGCACTACTCCCTCGTGAGATTTTCGTAATGCATCATCTCCCAAACATGGTTATATTTTCAAGCGCATAATATTGCTAACAAATTCATAAATTTTCCATGTCAACGATTTTTGCTAGTTTTAAATTTTTAATAGCTTATCTTGACATGATAAATCTTAACTACTAAAAGTCGACTTGCCAATACGGCTGTGGTCTAGTGGTACAGAAGAATTGGGAAAAGGTTAGAAATAACTAACCTAATTCGATTCACACTAGAAACAAAAATCATATTTGTGTGGAAAGTCTAGGTTTGGGCTTTTGGCCCAAACAATTCACATGGTATCCGAGATTACACTAACTGGATTAGTCGGAAAGCATTCTAAACTCGGGATTAGGTAGTGTGGGAATCCAACACCTAGGTGTTGGCAACGAGTCCACATAGTAGCACTTTTGTGCGTTCCCTCGAATATGATCGGATCAGCCGATCGGGGATATCAAAAATAGATGAGCTAAACTCTTGTAGATGCATCTTTCAATATATATTTATGAGACTTTTGACGATTCTTTTTGTTTCGCACACGTCCATATTTACTTAGCGGCCGAATCGTGAAGATTCCGAAGATCAACTGTGGAAAATGTCAAATATTTAAAGAAAAAAAAAGGGAGATGTGCCTTTAGTCAAGTGGTTAAGTCCACTTGACTCCGCCTTCCCCACCGGAGTTCGACTCCACTGTTGGTGTCGGATTCCCGCACCAGAAGTCCGAGACCAACCAAAGATTGCCACGTAGTCAAGGTAATGGCCCATAAAGGACAAAGCCCATTGAACCCATGAGCCGAAGGAACGGTCAAAGTGGTTATCACCACTTCGAGAATCCGAAGTGACTGCACTGTGGCACGAGTTCGGTGTAGAAGACACGGGTAAGTCAGTTCAAGGATACTTGGGCCAAAAAGGCGAGGCCCATGAAGATCAGAGTCAACTCAAATTCAAACGTTGAGCATTAAAGTCGAAGAATCAAAACGGACACATTTAAGAAGGAATAATTGTACTTAATTATTCGTTTTAATGTCGTTTCTCTATGTATAAATAAAAGGCCAATGGCCATGTAAAGGGGGGCTTCCTCTCAAGAAAGAAATATTATAGCAATTTTCGTAGTAATTTAGAAATTTTTACCTATTCATTTTTGTCCCTCAAGAATAATCTTTCCTACTTAATAATATACTTGAGTGTGTGAATCCGACTTCCACATCCACTAAATCGCGTTACCCCGCGTAGTAGGGATTGGCTATAGATCGGGCTTTGTCGATCTAAAGATGTCAAAAAAAAAAGTAACGTCTTATAGTAATTACAGGTATGTCCTATAAATGTTAACAATGACACCATTTTTTTTTTTTGTCAACCGCTATTAATTAAGACTCAAAAGAGCCATTCCTGAGGAATGTTGTTTACATACGTGATGTGATGCGGTTCGGTACGAACATTTCGTGCCACCGCTTTTACATTTGCACTACGAGAAATTAAAGGGATTTCATTTAAAATTTATCCGCGTTAACAATGACACCATTTAAAATTATAATTACAGGGATTTCATATATGGTCACTTAACTTTTTTTTTTGGCATATTGTTAAATATAAATGAATGATTTAAAAGGATAATTTACGTTAATAACTTAATATAGCAATATGCCTTGTTCTAAAAATCCCTGCCTAGCCCCGATTACTCTCCGCTTAATCGCTAGGCCCACCCTATCCGCCTCGATTAATGATTAATCCCTTAAAAAATCAGTAACCCGATTATTCTCCGCCTAATCCGATTACTTCCCATCTAATCCGATTATTTTCCACCTAATCTTATATACCCCGATTATTTTTTAGATTACAAGTATAAAAAAACTTTTTATTTTTGTTATTCAATCATTCAATTTGAATGGGGAGTTTGTAATGTTTTACAATAACTTGTATTCAAATTTTAATAAAAATCATAAATTTGTAATAAAAATCATAAATTTTTACAATATTGGATTAATATATTTTAAAAATATTAAAATAACCCTAAAACTAATCTCCGATTAATCCTCGATTTTAATCCGATTTTCCGATTAATCGTTAGGTCCATGCCGAGCGCCTGACTAGCGCCTAGCGATTTTTCAAACAAGGGCAATATGATAGACAATGTTGATGAATACCATGATTTTTTGAAAACGCTCCCGACGCTCCCGACGGCGACGAGGATGGAACTCTAGGGTTTTAACACCCAACCATGAGAAGGTGGATCTCGGTTGTTTCTTGTTTCTGGAATGGATTATTAAGGTTGTTTCTTAGCTTGGTGAGCGGATTCAATTTGATTGTTCTCTTACGGTTAATCTCTGGTTCCAAATGGTTTTCTATTCGGTTGATCTCTGTTTTTCGAATTGATTTGGTGGATCTTGGGCTGTTTTCGAATTTGTTAGATGGTATTAATCTCAGAACTGTTTTGGAGTTTTTGGGTATAAGATACATAAGGTTCAGTTTTTGGGCTGTAGAGATCATAGAAATCTCTCGGTTTCGGTGGATCTCTATTAAATTGCTCCCGGTTAGTCGATTTGATTTGGTGGATTTTGGGCTGATTTTGGTTTTGTCAGATTTTAATATAATCGTTGTTGATGGGAAGATTCTGGGTAAAAGATTCAAGCGGCTCGGGTTATGGGAAGAAGAGATCAAAGTAAGATGTTGGTTGAGAAGGAAGGGACTTCGGTTTATTGACTTGTATTTTTCTTTGATCTGCTGGTTGATTTGGAGATGGGATCATGTGATGGTGTTATGTGGGTTAGTTCTCCGGTTGGGAAATCAAAAGATCCGGCCAATCTTGAAGGATGTTTCAGTGCTAGTACAACAAGGTAATCAAAGGTTGATGTCAGAATCAAGCGGTAATGATTTACTTCACGGAGTAAAGGACATGTTCCAAATGGAAGCAAAGGAATTTGTTATCTCGTTCCTCGAAAGGATCGGTTCTTTATCTTGTTTGTATAAAACTTATACTTGGGGGTCTGTGACTGGATGTTATCGGTTTCATTTAACTTTGGCATATTGGTATTGGACGTGGACAAAAAAATTTGTTAACAATATACGGTTTAAGTGGTGGAGTCATATTGTATTTTGGGTATGGAATTTTATAAACACGTCTTTTATTCCTAGAATAGTGTTTTTTAATCATGAAGTAATTATGGTTTGTTTGAGGAATAAAATGAATATGATTCATTTGTCGGTTTTAGATATGGTCACGAATAACCTGATGCGAGAGCAAGGGAATGAAGGCTATAACCCGATGCACCATGGCACGGTGAAGGGTTTAACGGGTGGACGCAACCCACCTAAACCAAAGTTTAATAAATGAAGGTTTTGAGTTGGAATTGTCAAGGACTTGGCAATAAGGCAAACTATTGGTTATCTTCGGGATATATGGAAACAACACCGGCCAGACTTTTTATTTCTTTCGGAAACAAAACAACCTTCTTGGTTTATGGAAAAATTTATCGGTCATTTTGGTTACAAAAATTTAAAAACGGTTGATCCTACCGGTTGTAGCGGCGGTTTAGCCCTTTATTACAATAATGATTTTAATGTTTCAATTATTTATGAAAGTAATCGTTTAATTGATGTTGAGGCGGTGGTAAAAGGAAAAACAATACATCTTACTTTTGTTTATGGTGATCCGGTTCCGAAAAATAGAGATCAAGTTTGGGAACGGTTAACACGGATCGGTTTGGTTAGAAACACACCCTGGTTCTTAATAGGAGATTTTAATGAATTAACCGGAAATCACGAGAAAAGAGGTGGTAATTTAAGACATGCATCTTCTTTTATCCCTTTTAATTTAATGATTCAAAATTGCGGTCTTTTGGAGTTTCCATACATCGGAGATTGGTTATCTTGGCGGGGTTGGCGAGACAAAAAACCAATACGGTGTCGTTTGGATAGAGCCTTAGCAAACGAAGATTGGCATGACTTATTTTGCAATTCTTACGTTGAATATTTACCAATGGTAGCTTCCGACCATACACCGGTGGTAGCTACACTCATGGATAAGGTCCCACGCGGGAAAATAAATTTTAGGTTTGACAAAAGATGGATTGGGAAGGAAGGATTACTCGAGGCAATTTCAAATGGTTGGAATTCGAACCCTGAGTTAGGAGAGGGAAAATTTGTAGAAAAATTGACTAATTGTAGGCGGGCTATTTCGTAGTGAAGGAAAAATTTAACTCCCTATGGGCGGCAAACAATTGAGGAACTAAAATCAGAATTACTCGTGGCACAAAGAGATGATAGGAGACCACGGGAGGAGATTACAGAGTTAACATTACGGCTGAAAGAGGCTTATCGAGATGAGGAGTTGTATTGGCATCAGAAAAGTAGGAGTTTTTGGATGCAACTAGGGGATAATAATTCAAAATATTTTCATGCACTAACAAAACAAAGACGGGCAAGGAATCAAATAACGAGGTTACATGATGAGAACGGGATTTGGTGTGCAGAGGATAAACATATTCAAACTATAGCGGTGTCTTATTTTGAGAAACTGTTTACTACAACTAAGCCTGAGGCTTTTGAGGAATCCTTGGCAGAAGTTCAAACTCTGATTACGGAACAGATTAATAATTCTCTAACGGCACCTGCAACTGAATGTGAGGTGAGAACGGCTTTGTTTATGATGCATCCGGAAAAAGCGCCTGGACCTGATGGTATGACAGCTTTATTTTTCCAAAAGGCTTGGGTCACCATTAAAACAGACCTTCTTTTTCTGGTCAATTCTTTTTTAGAGGACAAAATTTTTGATAAACGGTTAAATACAACTAATATTTGCTTGATTCCAAAAACGGAAAGACCGACACAGATGACAGAATTACGGCCCATCAGTCTTTGCAATGTTGGGTATAAAATTATATCGAAGATTCTTTGCCAAAGACTTAAGACGGTGCTACCAAAATTGATTTCGGAAACACAATCGGCTTTTGTAGAAGGACGATTGATTTCAGATAATATTCTTATCGCACAAGAGATGTTCCATGGGTTGAGAACTAACCCGTCATGTAAAGGAAAATTCATGGCAATTAAAACGGATATGAGTAAGGCTTATGATAGGGTGGAATGGATTATCATAGAGAAGGTTTTAAGAAAATTGGGATTCTGTGAAAAATGGATTAAATGGATAATGTGGTGTATCACAACGGTCCAATATAGAGTTCTCCTTAATGGACAACCTAGAGGACTAATAGTACCAGAGAGGGGTTTACGACAAGGAGACCCGCTCTCACCTTATTTATTCATCCTTTGCACAGAAGTGCTAATTGCGAATATTCGGAAAGCTGAACGGGAAAAATTAATTACGGGTATCAAAGTAGCAAATGCATGCCCTCCGGTTTTACATCTGTTATTTGCGGATGATAGCTTATTTTTTTGCAAGGCCAACAAGGATCAGTGTGAGGTAATTTTGGGAATTTTAAAGAAGTATGAAGCGGTATCGGGGCAGCAGATTAATTTTTTAAAATCCTCTATTCAGTTTGGACATAAGGTAGATGATGATATTAAGGAAGAAATCAAATCTACCTTAGGTATCACTAATATCGGTGGTATGGGTTCTTATCTTGGATTGCCGGAGAGTTTAGGAGGATCCAAGACAAAAATCTTCTCTTTTATCAGAGAGAGACTACAAACAAGGATTAATGGATGGTCGGCAAAATTTTTATCAAAAGGGGGAAAAGAAGTGATGATTAAATCGGTAGCTGCAGCGTTACCAACTTATGTTATGTCATGCTTCAGATTACCAAAAACAATCACTTCTAAACTTACTAGCGCGGTTGCAAATTTTTGGTGGAGCTCAAATGGTGATTCTAGAGGTATGCACTGGATGGCTTGGAATAAATTGTGCAACAGCAAATCGGAAGGGGGACTAGGATTTTGGAATGTTGACGATTTTAATTCAGCTTTACTAGCAAAACAATTATGGCGGTTGATCACGGTTCCAGATTCTCTTTTCGCAAAGGTGTTTAAAGGACGGTATTTTAGGAAATCCAATCCTTTGGAAAACATAAAATCATATTCTCCATCATATGGATGGCGGAGTATATGTTCAGCTAGATCGGATCTGGGACATCCATCTCGGTTTGGGAGGACCCCTGGATTTCAGCTCGATTCCCGAGACCAGCAAAAAGTAATGGCTCAGTTGCTGACCCATCTTTAAAAGTTAACGACCTTATAGATAGTCGGACGAACTTCTGGAATATTGATCTCTTAAAAGCGATCTTTGATCCAGAAGATGTTGCGCTAATAAGCGCCATACATGTGGGTGCGCCAACAAAAGAAGATTCTTTGGGTTGGCATTTTACAAAATCCGGACAATATACAGTCAAATCGGGATATCATACCACACGGTTAGAAAAGTTGGAGACAAATTTAAATTGTTTTGGACCTGATATCAATCCGTTAAAAGCACATTCTTGGAAAGTGCAATGTCCACCTAAGATACGCCATTTCTTATGGCAAATCTTAGCAGGTTGTGTACCGGTTACGGAAAATTTGCGGAAACGAGGAATTGATTGTGATACGGGATGTGCTAGATGTGGCGCACCAGAGGAAACGATCAATCATACAATCTTTCAGTGCCACCCGGCACGACAGATTTGGGCGCTTTCACAGATTCCTACGGCTATGGGGATTTTTCCAACGGAATCTAATTTTGCGAATTTGGATCACTTATTCTGGAGAATACCTTCGGAATTTGATTCATCAGCATTCCCATGGATTATTTGGTATATTTGGAAAGCAAGAAATGAAAAAATCTTTGAAAACATAGATACAGACCCCATAGAGGTATTACGATTAGCGGAAAAAGAGGCACAATTGTGGCAATCAGCTCAAGTTGACCTCCATAACGAAAATCATGGTTCTGTGGATCTGGTAAATCGAATTCGAGTGAGGGATGTTTCACTTGAGTCAAATTATTCCGGATACCGTTGTTTTGTGGATGGATCATGGAAAGGAAGTGATAAGTTCTCCGGTACAGGGTGGTTCTGTACATCGTCAAATGGAGAGCCGCCAACCATGGGAGCTGCGAACCTCCGTAGAAGTCTATCTCCACTACATGCCGAAGTCGAGGCCCTTCTCTGGGCGATGAAGTGTATGATTGGTGCAGATAATCAAGAGGTAGCGTTCTTTACAGACTGTTCAGACCTGGTGAAGATGGTGTCTTCTCCAACCGAATGGCCGGCGTTTTCAGTGTATTTGGAGGAATTTCAAAGCGACAAGGAGGAGTTTTCATCTTTCTCTTTATCTTTAATTTCTCGTAGAGCTAATACTAAAACGGATAATCTGGCACGAAAAGTTTGTACAGAACCGCTTCATATCACATATGTAAACAACATTCCTCAGGAATGGCTCTTTTGAGCTCTAATTAATTTTGGATGACAAAAAAAAAAAAGATAGACAATGTTGACATGCTTTCTTTAAGAGGTAGCTTTCTTTACAGACTGTTCAGACTTGGTGAAAATGGTGTCTTCTCCAACCGAATGGCTGGTATTTTCAGTGTATTTGGAAGAATTTCAGAACGACAAGGAAGAGTTCTCAAACTTCTCTTTATCTTTAATTTCTCGTAGTGCAAATGTAAAAACAGATACTCTGGCACGAAAAATTCGTACAGAACCGTTTCATATCACATATGTAAACAACATTCCTCGGAAATGGCTCTTTTGAGCTCTAATTAATTTCGGATGACAAAAAAAAAATGTTGACATGCTTTAAATTCTTAAAGTTAATTTTTGACATATATGATATATTGCAATATGATAACTTATTTCTACAACGTGTATCGGATTTTAGTTTAATAACATTGATATTTGGGCCTATACCCAATTGAATGATTGATATTAAGCGTATTCGATGTTCCGTCCAAGGGACCACACTTATTATTGATTTGAAGCGTATTCGATGTTCCGTCCAAGGGACCACACTTATTCAATAATACAGGCTTACACGATGAAACATAAACATAAACATAAACATAAACATAAACATAAACAAACCATAAACTCCAAAATAGTAAAATACGATTCAAATTCATTTTGACATTTTTGCGGCTAGCTCTCTAACAAACTTAGCCGCGACCATTGCCGTCATGTCATCAGCGGTATCACGCTGTGGG